GCTTGGCTCTTGGGCCTTGTAACAATCCTGTTTATGCTTATTTCCTTGTTGTCCAGTGTGATACAATGGTCTTGGCTTATCTTGCATATTTCCTGCCCAGCCACTTGTCCAAGAAGAATGTGAACGTTTAAAACAAAAACAAAGTTTCAGGGCCCCAGTCACACCCCAAACCAGCTTAATCAGAATCCCTGGTGAGGATAGGGCCCAGATACAGGCAGGGTCCCCAGAGTGAAGTGCAGTGGTGGGATCTCAGCTCACTGCAACCTCTGCCTCCTGGGTTCAAGTGATTCTCCTGCCTCAGCCCCCTGAGTATCTGGGACTACAGTTGTTAGCCACCACTCTCAGCTAATTTTTGTATTTTTAGTAGAAACAGGGCTTTGCCATGTTGGCCAGGCTGGTCTCCAACTCCTGACCTCAGGTGATCTGCCCACCTTGGCCTGCCAAAATGCTGGAATTACAGGCATGAACCACCACACCCTGCCGGGATACAGTATTTTTAAAAAAGCACACCCAGCCTTGGATGGAAAACACTTGAGGAGAGTATGCTGCCTTGTTGGGCTCTGTAAACACCTTATCTCTGCATAAGGCTGAAACTTTGAGTGGAGTCCTTGGCTAAAGCTCTCATTGCTATATGGTGACCTTTTTTCCTCTCCTGCTTAAAGTTTGTGTTTCAGAATTTTGACCCGAATACATCTGTGTTGAAAGCCAGGCTTGGTCTATCGTCCCAGGACTCTGTGTCAGTTTCTTTCCTTGCCTGTATGTTGAGCTCGGGCTCATCTTCATGCCTCTGGGAAATAAGTTATTTGATAGCTTGCTTAGAGTCTGTCGGTACTTTCACTTGCCCTTAGAATGAATACCAAAATATGTGGCCTGCAGCGTAGACTGTACACAGCCTGCAGTGTAGACTGCGTTCCTGGAGTCTGCCATGCTTCTACCACTAGTCCTTTGCACGTGCTGCTGTCTGCTGGGGATGCTTTGCCTTTCCTCATTACTTAGCTGTCCTCTACTCATCTTTCAGGCGCCAGCTTGACTGTCTTTCTTGGGGGAGCTTCTCTGACCTTGGTACACCAGATCAGCCCCCATATGCTGACTTGTCTCACTGGTAATATTTCTCTATCTTCAGGACACATATCAAGGCCCAGAAGTTGCAGTTTTGCATTTGTTTGTGTAATCATTTGATGCATGTCTCTCTGGAGCCTGACTCTTTGGGGCTCACATCCTGTCTCCACCACTTTTAGCTGTGGGACCTTGAACAAATCATTTCATTTCTGGTCCCCAGTTTCTTTTAACTGCAAAACAGGGATGCTATAATACTTTGACCTACCTTATGAGGTGGGGATGAAGATTAAATAGGGTAATTTGTGTAAAGCCCTTAGAACAGAGCTAGGTATTAATAGTAGAGACTCTTGGCAGGTATTACTGATGATTACTGCAGTGGACAAGCTCCATACAGGCAGGGGTCATTTCTGTTTGTTTAGATTTGTATGCAGGGTGCTTGACACATGGATGGTGCTCAGGAAATATTTGTTGGATGAATTAATGAAGTGGGGATAATCATAATACCATGTTTATAGAATTCCATGAGGATATAAAATAATGTAAGTATATAAGTTCTTGGTAGCATGTCTAGCTCATAGTAGGTGGTCAATAAATATTCAATGCCTGAATGAGGAAAATGGGGACAATAGTAATACCAGCTTAGGAGGTTGTTTTGGGGATCTAAGATAACCCTGTATTACCTTGTAGAGTGCCTAGCACATAGTAGGTGCTCAGAAAATACTTGTTGAATGAATGAGTGAAGTGGGGATGACGGTAACACCAGCTCCTAGGGTTGCTGTGGGAACAGAAGATAAGACAGGCCGATAGCTTATTGTATTGTGGTTGCACCTGGTAGACACTCTGTTGAGTGAAATGAGAGGAGCTGCTATGAGTTTCTTTCTCCTGGGGCTTAGGAGAGAATCCTTTTGGGGTACAGAATGGTATGGAGTGGACACTGGTCCTCTTGAAGGAAGAATGGGCAGCTGACTACTCCTTGGCAAGCTCTGACCTGGATGAAAAGTTGAATCGTTTCTTTCCCTCTTCCTCCCTAACCTGTTCTTTCTTTCCATTAGAATCCTTGCCCAGCATCCAGCACCTCCTTCCTGTCCAGGATCACCTTCTGGTGGATCACAGGGTAAGGCTGGGCCCCCAAGACCTCAGGGAGGTGGTGGGGAATGAATGACTGAATGAACGAGTGAACATGGAGTTCCCGGCTTGACTTCTCTCCTTTGCTCTTCTGCAGAGTTGTCTTGAATCTGCCTGTGCTAGCCATGTGGTCTCAGAGACACCAACTCTGTCCTCCAAGTCCATCACCTTGAATCTGATAAACACATGAGCCATGAGCAGCTTAAATATCTACAGAAGGCTTGGCCTGGGACAGCCATACACTGAACTGATCTTGCTTTAGCTTTAGATTTGAGTTTTTATTTATTTATTTATTTATTTAATTTATTTCTTGCTTAGACATCATGTTCAACCTTATTTGGGTTTTTAAAATATTGGGTGTAGTTATTATTGACATTGTTTCTCTCCCATGCCCCACTCCTTAGAAAAATAATACTGTCTCACCATAGGAAATGTGGGTTAAAAAAACACATGTGCAGATCAGTAGTAAGGAATCACCCAGAGGCAACAACTGTCACCATTTTAGTATGCCTCCTTCTGGTCTTCTTTTCTTTTTGAGATGGAGTCTCACTCTGTCTCCCAGGCTGGGGTGCAGTGGTGCAATCTCAGCTCACTACAACCTCTGCCTCCTGGGTTCAAGCAATTCTCTTGCGTCAGTCCCCCAGGTAGCTAGGATTATAGGTGTATGCCATTGTGCCTGGCTAATTTTTGTATTTTTAGTAGAGACAGGGTTTTGCCATGTTGGCCAGGCTGGTCTTGAATTCCTGACCTCAGGTGATCCACCCACATCAGCCTTCCAAAGTGTGGGATTACAGGTATGAGCCACCATGCCCAGCCAACTTGTGGTTTTCTTTTTTTTACATCTATTTCTACCCGTTGTCAACATCTTATTGGGGATTATTTGAAGAATCTTTCTTTCACCCTAATATGCATCATCTTTTTGGTATTTTGGAGATAGGCTTTCACTCTGTCACTGAGTCTGGAGTACAGTGGCAAAATCGTAGCTCACTGCAGTCTTGATCTACTGGGTTCAGGTGATGCTCCTGCCTCAGCCTCCTGAGTAGCTGGGATTATGGGCACGCTCGACCATGCCCAACAGATTTTTGTATTTTTTGCCCAGGCTGGTCTCCAACTCCTGAGCTCAAGTCATTCTTCCACCTCAGCCTCCCAGAGTGCTGGTATTATAGGAATGAGCCACCATGCCCAGTCTCACATTATTCTCTTTATGAACATTTTACAAACATCTTTTTAAAAGATTAGATGTTTTAAATAATTTCTTCAAATTACTATTAAAGAGAGTCACTGGGACAGTTGAGTAATTTGTATATGACTGCAGGACACCAGATGCATGCTAATAACTTTCTTGTTTTGGAAAATTGTGCTCCAGTTACATAAGAGCATGTCCTGGATTGTAAGGGGATACCCCCAGTTTTTTGGGAGTAAAGATATGTAGAGCCTATATCTTAGCTTTTTTGAGACAGAGTCTTGCTCTGTTGTCCAGGCTGGAGTGCAGTGGCATGATCTGCAACCTCTGCTTCCTGGGCTTAAGTGATTCTCCTCTCTCAGCCTCCTGAGTAGCTGGGATTATAGGCATGCGCCACCATGCCTGGCTAATTTTTGTAATTTTAGTAGAGATGGGTTTTCACCATGTTGACCAGGTTGGTCTCAAAATCCTGACCTCAGGTGATCCACCCACTTCAGTCTCTCAAGGTGCTGGGATTATGGATGTGAGACACTGTGCTAGGCCTTTAACTGTCTGAAATGGTTTAGAAAAAGATGTGTTTGCATGCGTGTGTGTGTGTGTGTGTGTGTGTGTATGTATGTATGTGTGTGAATGGATAGAGACAGAATGTTACTGTAAACTTGGCAACATGTTAATAGTGGTAAGTTGAGTGAATTCTTAGTATGATTTGAGTAATTTTTCTGTATGTTTGAAATTATTTTAAAACAAAAAATGTAAGTGTTTAACTTACATTTTTATTATAGTGTTATAAAGTTATAATATAGTGTTATAATATAAAGTTAACTTTTTATTATAGTGTTCAGTTGGCCGAGTGTGGTGACTTATACCTGTAATGTTAGCACTTTGGGAGGCTGAGGCGGGTGGATTACCTGAGGTCAGGAGTTTGAGACCAGCCTGGCCCATGTGGTGAAGCACTGTCTCCACTAAAAATACAAAAATTAGTCAGGCGTGGTGGTAGGTGCCTGTAATCCCAGCTACTTGGGAGGTTGAGGCAGGAGAATCGCTTGAACCCAGGAGGCGGCAGTTACAGTGAGCCGAGATTGTACCACTGTACTCCAGTCTGGGTAGAGTTACATAGAAAGACTAACATAACATAATAAAACTCAGGCCGGGCGCGGTGGCTCAAGCCTGTAATCCCAGCACTTTGGGAGGCCGAGGCGGGTGGATCACGAGGTCAAGAGATTGAGACCATCCTGGTCAACATGGTGAAACCCCGTCTCTACTAAAACTACAAAAAATTAGCTGGGCATGGTGGTGCGTGCCTGTAGTCCCAGCTACTCAGGAGGCTGAGGCAGGAGAATTGCTTGAACCCAGGAGGCGGAGGTTGCGGTGAGCCGAGATCGCGCCATTGCACTCCAGCCTGGGTAACAAGAGCGAAACTCCGTCTCCAAAAAAAAAAAAAACATAATAAAACTCAATAAGTTTATCACCCAGATTTCACTATTGCTAATGCTTTGTCATGTCAGCCTTTTTCCCCCCCTTCAACCTGCTTTTTTTTGGGGGGGTCTGGCTCTGTTGCCCAGGCTAGAGTGCAATGACACGATCACGGCTCCCTGTAGCCTCCACCTCCTGGCTTCAAGCAGTCCTCCCACCTCAGCCTCCTGAGTAGCTGGGACTACAGGTGTGAGCCATTATGACTGGGTAATATTTTTTATTTTTACTTTTTGTAGAGATAGTCACCCAATATTGCCCAGGCTGGTATTGAACTCCTGAGCTCACGAAGTCTTCCCACCTCAGCCTCCTAAATGCTAGGATTATAGGCATGAGCTACTGGTCCTGGCCAATATTAGCCTTTTTTAATGTAAAATTTTTAAAAGTTGACAGGGGATAGTGGCTCATGCCTATAATCCCAACACTTTGTGAGGCCAAGGTGGGAGGATTGCTTGAGCCCAGGAGCTCAAGATCAGCTTGGGTAACATAGGGAGACTCTTTCTCTACAAAAATAAAAAATAATTAGCCAGTCATAATTGCTCACACCTGAAATACCAGTTACTCAGGAGGCTGAGGTGGGAGGATTACTCTAAGCCAGGAGCTGGAGGCTGCAGGGAGCCATGATCATGGCATTGCACTCCATCCTGGGTGATACAGTGATACCCTGTCACCAAATAAATAAATGAATGAATGAATGAGGCCGAGCATGGTGGCTCATGCCGGTAATCCCAGCATTTTGGGAGGCTAAGGGGGCTAGATTGCCTGAGCTCAGGAGCTTGAGACCAGCCTGGGAAACATGGTGAAACCCCGTCTCTACTAAAATACAAAAAATTAGTTAGGTGTGGTGGCATATGCCTGTAGTCTCAGACTTGAGAGGCTGAGGCAGGAGAATTGTTTGAACCCAGGAGGCAGAGGTTGCAGTGAGCCAAGAACACGCTACTGCACTCCAACTTGGGTGACATAGCAAGACTCCATCTCAAAAAAACAAAACAAACAAACAAAATAAATGAATGGTGAAAAAGAGTGAATTAGCGCCATCTTGATATTTCCCTCCTAAATCACCTTTTTTTCCCTAAATCTTTTCTATGCATCTCTGCAAAAGAAAGCCATTTTTCCTTTATGACCCAACAGAATGAGCTGTAATAATGTTGTAATATGTGCAAATGTCTATCCAAATTCAGACATCCCCAGCTGTGTGGCTGCCTTCATTCACAGTGGGCAGTTGTGCTGAGGAGGGGTGTGGCATCGGCATGCTTGTGGAGTGAGTGAGCCCTGTCCTTCTCCTCTCATTGACTAACTCCCTTGTGTCTTGGCCTCAGGTTGATCATCCGGGGCTACCACCAGCCCCTGGAGAGCAGTGGCCTCTGGTCCTTAAAGGAGGAGGACACATTGGAACAAGTCATACCTGTTTTGGTAAAGAACTGGAAGAAGAAATGCACCAAGCCTAGGAAGTAAGTGTGTTTCCTTGTTCTCTAGAATGCCCCAGTTCCCTCCTTCCCACCCCTGTGGCCTGAATCCAGGCTGTGGCCCTGGCAATGCTGCTTGTTGCTAGCTTTGTGGTTCTCGCTTCTCCTCCTGGCTTCAGTTTGTTTTTCTGCCAAATGGGATAAAATCTCACAAGTCATTAAGGCAACTGAGTAGAAAAGAAGACAGAAGCTGGGCATGTGCCTCACGCCTGTAATCCCAGCACTTTGGGAGGCCAGGGTGGGTGGATCACAAGGTCAGGAGTTTGAGCCCAGCCTGGCCAACATGACGAAACCCCATCTCTACTAAAAATACAAAAATTAGCTGGGTGTGGTGGTGAGCACCTGTAATCCCAGCTACTTAGGAGGCTGAGGCAGAAGAATCGCTTGATCCCAGGAGGCAGAAGTTGCAGTGAGCCAAGATTGCACCACTGCAGTTCAGCCTGTGAGACAGAGTTACTCCATCTCAAGATAAGAAGAGAGAAAAACGCTGCCCAAGCAGGCAGTTGATGTTGTTTGCCATAGCACATGACTGTCCCTCCTTGAGTCAGTCTCACTTGTTCTGTTTCTTTCTGAGCATCTGGCATCCCGCGTGTTCCTGCTGTTTGAAGTGTTTCTGTCCAACACACCCAGCTGACCCTGTACGTTTGTTTAGCCAAAGAAGCCCCATTTGCAGGTGATTTTGGCTGTACTGGATTTTAGACTCTACCCCCTATGTAAAGCGTGCCCCACTGCACCACCTCTGTCATTCTTTCGGGAATCAGGTCAGGGCTTCCACTGCACTTACCTTAACTCTTCAAATCTGAGACACCATCAGTTGCATGATACATTATTATTGTGTATCATAGAAAGAAAAGCAACTGCCAATTAAACAAGGACGTAAGATGCATCCCAAGCCCAGATGAGCTGGAAGGTGAAATTGCAAGTGATGTGGGGGCAGTGGATTATGGCCATGGGGGCAGTAGGGTAGCTGTTTTTGTTTCTGTTGCCTGTTCCAGGGTAAGCTTATTATGGTAAACTGTGACAGAGCCAGCCTGGTGCACTGGATTCTCCACAGACCCGTTGGTCTTACAGAGAAATCCCCAAACCCAGGTTCAGTTCCTCATTCTGTTCCAGGGATGCCCAGGATACAGGCCTTCCATCAGACCCAGATGGTGGGTGGAAATCTGGGACGTCCATGGTGCCAACCACTAGGACATCAGCAGAGGACCTTGTAACCCTGGGGGAGACTGTTTGGGCGGTCCAGGGGATGGGAGAAATTGTCTTGTGGGAGACAGATAGAGCTTGGGCCTCCATGGCTGAGCATTGTAAGGACATGGCCCATGTCCATGGCCCAGTTGAAGGTTGTTGGCAGGCAGAGGTGGGGTCCCTGTTTATTACATGGAGACAGAACTAGTAGGATGGATGGATGGATAAATGATAGATTGATAGATGATAGGTAGATGATAGATGGATAGATAGTGGATGGATACTTGATAGGTGGATAGGTAGATGATAGATGGATGATTGATAGATGATGGATGACTGGATGGATTGAGGATGAGAGGGGATCTACTAGGGAAACTGGATCATGTGATTATGGAGAAGTCCTATGCTAGGCCACCTGGAAGCTGGTGAACCTGAGAACTAGTAGCATGGCTCAGGCCAAGTCTGAAGATCTCAGACCCAGGGAAGCTGATGGTGGAATTCTCAGTCTACAACCAAAGGCCTGAGAACCTGGAGTGACTGGGGTAATTCCCAGAGTCCAGAGGCCAGATAGCCTGGAGTTCCAGGGGCAGGAGAGGATGACATCCTGGCTGCAGAAGAGAGATCACATGAATTTACCATTTCTCTTTTTCTTGTGTCTGGACCCTCTGCTGATTGGGTGGTGCCCAATCACATGGGGTGAGGATGGATCCTCATTAAGTCCACTGATTCAAATGCCAGTCTCATCTGGAAACACCCTCACAGGCACCCACACAGAAATAACACTTTAGCAGCCATCTGGGTATCTCTTAACCCCGTCAAGTTTACCCCTAACATCACCTATCACCTGGATTCCTTCAGCCTCGCCTGCAGTGTTTTCCCTGCTATTAAGGCCACATTTGTAGCATGGACTTCAGCATTCCTCATCACCAGTGCCTTTGCTGATCACCTGTCTTGGCTTCTTTTCATGGAAGAAGGATGCCCACCTTTGTGTTCTGGAGCTTGCCAGGCGAGCAGTTGTTGGAGACACCATGGCAGAGGCAGAGCCTCAGGAGGAGGATGGAGTTTGAATCAAGAAGCTCCTCCACTGACCTGGCTTTTAATTCATTGAACAGTTGAAATTGACTGCTGTTTTTGTGCTTAGTGATGTTTAGTCCCTGAGGGTTCAGAGTGGCACAAAACACATATACTGTTTTTTTTTTTTTTTTTTGAGACGAAGTGTTGCCCTGTCACCAAGTTGGAGTGCAGTGGCATCATCTCAGCTCACTGCAATCTCCACTGCCTGCATTCATGTGATTCTCATGCCTCAGCCTCCCAAGTAGCTGGGATTACAGGTGTGCACCACCATGCCTGACTTATTTATTATTTTATATATGTATTTTTTCTTAGACAGTTTTGCTTTTGTCACCCAGGCTGGAGTGCAATGGTGCAATCTCAGCTCACCACAACCTCTGCCTCCTGGGTTCAAGCAATTCTCCTGCCTCAGCCTCCTGAGTAGCTGGGATTGTAGGCATGTACTACCATACCCAGCTATTTTTGTATTTTGAGTAGAGACAGGGTTTCTCCATGTTGGTCATGCTGGTCTCAAACTCCCAACCTAAGGTGATCTATCTGCCTTGGCTTCCCAAAGTGCTGGGATTATAGGTGTGAGCCACTGTGCCTGGCCTTTAAATTTTTTCTTTCTTTTT